GTTAATGCCCAAACTGCCAGCCAAACAGATACGGCGAGTTTTCCGGAAGGGCAGCCAACAATTCGAGACTGGAGTGCTATGAGCAAACACCTGCTATTTGAACTTTTCAAGTCCGACCCACTCAGTCCTTCTTGATGGCATTGGCTTGCCCAGCTGCTTCGCTAGCAACGGCCTCATCACCTGCGACCACCTGTAGACAAGCAGCGGAGCTGCGAAGGGGGAGCTTGGAGAGCAGCTTGGCCTCTGTCGACTTAATCCAAAGCGACCCAAACAAGGGCTGCAAACATCAGACATCTGAAGCCAGAATACCTGGATTCAAGCCTATATGTGGCTCAACACCCTGGCCGCGAAAGGGCTGAGGGGTTAGGATATGGCATGATCCGTTCCCGTCAGGGCTTCGGACGGTGCAAAGAGACGAAGAATTCGGAGCCAGAGTTTACATCTGCTACACTGCGCTGTTGTCAGTTGTGGGTTCCAATTTCACCTCAAAGTGATCCATGTCATCTGCCCGAGATCTTGTGGCTTGCCTCCTTCACCTTCTCAGTTTTCGCTGACTCCTGCCAGGCTAAGGCGCAGAACATCTTAATGCCCGTAGGCCGCACAGGGAGCGGTGAGTACATATCACCGCAGATCAATAATGCAAACATGTGTGGAGATATTTGGAGCCGTCAAGCGCACGAAAGTGTTGAACACGAGATAAAATTATAAAAAGATCAAGGGAGTGCATCCTCGTTGACGACAATCATCATCTCTCCGACCTGCATTCAGAATGGGCAATTTGGGACTGAGGTCGTTGGCGTTTGGCTTATTCGCGTGGACACTCTCCACAGGGATGCGCACAAAAAAAAACCGGTTCAGAGCGTTAATATTTCCTTTCCAATTGGATACCGGGCTGGTCCTGCACTGCTGATGGGAAAGTGACTACCATGAGCATACTGCCGGCAGTTGACATGTCAACTGCCAGTGCTCAACTAGGGTGACTAGGGTCCTTTGCCAGTCAGTGGCACAAGGGCACCATCATGGCCTCCTTGTTCTTCTCCACTAGCTTTGGCTGCAGGGCAATGAGCTCCTTGTCGCCGATCGCATCAGTGTCCCGACAGCTTTTGGGCGGGAGGCCTGGAGAGGCCTAGAGTCTCGAGGCTCGTGGCCTGATGTTTTCACATCGCTAAATTCGGAGTAGTACATTTCGGGCTAAAGCTTGGACCCTAGACTTAGACATGTGAAGCTGTCCAAAAATGTCGATTGCATTTCATAAAGCAGCCCAACTTTAAGATCCGGGTCGTCTGAGTTCCTGCCGCGAATCAGCCAGTCAAGAGCCTGCAGGTCTCTATCAAAGTATGTAATACAAGTTTCGTTTCAAAGGTATGAGCAGTTATTTCTTTAGGCAGTCCTGCTTCATGCCCTCCACGGACTGTTCGGTGGTTGTCAGCTTTTCGAGACCCACCTGCAGCACAACATGCCAGAGCCTTTAGCTGTGACTGTCCTCAGGCCATAATGTTGAAGAGAGTGTCGTCCGTGTAAGGAGAGCACAAGAGTTTCGGGAAGAAACGTTGTGAGGCTGGGACTTGGGATTCCGAAATTCACGTGCGGGGCGGCTACGAGACGCAGACTTGAGTCCGCATGGCTTGTAAAATGTTCCACATGCGCTCCATCCGGATCTCTGGACGATCTCTTCAGCACCTCATGACACACATATGACATATCCCCAACAGGAATCCCATCTTCCAGAACTCGATTGCGCAGAGAAAGAGGAAACAGGCACTTTGCGCCTCGTACTTGGACTTCAGACTGCTGATCGATGACCGTTTCTCGGCCAGGAGGGCCTCTCAGTCGAGTTGAGTCTGAGCACTTCGGGCACGGTGGGCACAAATCACAAATCAGTTGCCAGTGCGAGGATTCTGGATTGGTTGAAAGGGGTTGTGAAAGGTCAACATGAGCCACAGAACAGTATCATATGGGCTCTGGGAAGCAACTGCTTGACAAGCTCATGTGTCGCGGTGACGTGGTGGCAACGTTGCGCAGCAGTTGGCAATCCGTCACGAATCGACCCCACAACTGGCCTTGAAGGTCTGGATAAGCTCGAGGAAGGAGGTCGGTGTGGAGTAGTAGATGCCTCGAGCTTGAATTTTCAAGGGAGGCTCTAGAGGTGTCTCTAGGCGTTTTCATAGCATCCAAACGATCCGTGCTCAAGACTTCCATCTAAGATCGGTCAACTCGGCTTCTGGCGCTTTAGCTCGTCCTCGAAACGGCGAGCCAACTTCGTCGTCTCCGCATGGAAGAACCTGAGCGACTGGACCAAGGGCTGTCACGGGCTGTGCATCCTGAGGCTTGGGAGGCTTGGCCACAGCCACAGCAAAGAACGACATCAGATCATCAGCAACAACGACTCGAGTAACTGTGAGAACCGCTCACGGTCCCTCTACTCTCGAGCTGAGGGTGCTCCTGCATGATGACAACTCCAGGTCTGCGGCTGGCACATCTCCACGCAGTTTGAGCGCACCTGGCGGACCGACTGCCACGTGCTGGGGCTGGATGGCTCCCTTCTCAGAGCGTTGCATCTGACAGGACATCGGCAGGTCTGCATGCCGAAACTGCAAGAATTGCAACTCCGAATGCCTCACAACCAGACTCCTCTCCTGTCCATCCTTGCATGCCTCCTCAACTTGTTCCCTCATCCTCAAGTCCCCCAGCCTGCTCATCCAGGTCGGGGATGGCCCTCGCAGGGAATCCCGCTAAACAACTTTTGCATTACCCAGACACATAGACCCTACTCCCCACCAGGGGAGGATGAATTTCCTCGCGTGTGGCGGTTTAGGTGTCTTATGTGCCCTTTCTGAACGCGGCCACGGGGCTGCAGGAAGCGCGTTGCAACGGCCATGAGGGCGTCGGAGGGCCAGGCCTCTTGCTAGCGACGTTTTGGTGGTTGTCGTGGCATCGGCAGTTGAGGATAAGGCGAAAGTGCCGGCAGGCGGTTCGGAAAAACTGGGGCTGATATACTTCGGAGTGTTCGTCGGGCTGCAGGAATCGAGCGTAAAAGACATCCTGCTCTGAAACAAAATTTAGGATTGACTCCCACAACACCAGGGCTCCTCAGCTCCTGGATCCTCAAAGCCCGCAGGAACTTTCAATACCGAGCCCGGAGCTGTGTACCAGTCAATGGTGCAGCAGTTGACCAGGGAGGGGAACCTGTCATTCAACGGGTAGGGCACCTTTGGGTGGGTCGTTTCGGGCTTTGCTTGGCGACAGGGCATTGCAGCTTCGAGCTGCTTGTCGGGCTTGAGGGCTTGGTTGCTAGTTGGGCAGGGATGCTCTTCAGATGGGCCGGACCGAACGCAAATCTTGCACCCAAGTGGCTGCCGCAATCGTGTCCGCCAGTTGTCACCAATTGGCGAGAAGCAGACCACACATCCAACCTGTGCAGGGTCGATTGGCACCAAATCAAAATCGAAAGCCCAAGATGCCCACAGGATTGAAAGTGACCGCCAGATTCCGGCAATCCTGGGGGCTTCGGGCCACGCAAATTGCATCCACCCAGCGATGCCGAACACCGGAAGCTGAAATGCCCTGAACTCATAAGCACAACACTAGAACAAGCAAGCGCCAGCCCAGGTTTGGAGTATCGACGGACCCTACCCTACAGAAAACGAACAGGTGGTGCAAGTGTAGTCTTGTAGACCCCCCAATGATGTATTATCACGCCTGAGACCGCCTCGCCAGCGCCTAATGCACTCCGAGTAGCCATGGCCCGGCATCGCTCGATAAAGAAGGCGAAGAGTTGGGCCAAGGTTCCATCCTCGGCGAGATACGCTATGACGAAGTGTCTCCTGTGCCATTCTTGCAGTTGCAAAGGCATAGAGATTTTTGTCGCGCGGGAGCCGGCAAACAACAGCCTCTGCAACGGTGAGGCATTTTGGGACATCAAGCCATAGTCATGCCCCGACTATGTTAATGTTCCCGATGCAGACACACTGCATGCCGTGCTACAAGTAGCATTAAAAGGGCACGTGCGTTTTCCGTGGCCGCCTTCGGCAGCGATAGCCGCTCAGACACCATGCATGTTCCCGTGGTACCTGTCCGTATAAGAATCACAGCCACGTCTTCAGGACTTCGGAAACGACAGCTTTAGCACGGTGACTCTTCCAGCATCCACAAATGCTGCGATGGCATGGGCGCACTACAGGGAGGCAGGTCTGGGCATATTCTCTGACGGTCACCATGAAACTGCAGGAAGCCAGGAAGCCACCTAGCCACCCGCACATGTCGAACGATGTCGAATGCTGAGTTCATGAGCTGTGCTGTTGAAGCCCCTACTAAACCACCTCATTGCCCTAAACATCCTATCCCGTCCAATGTCGACTGCTACTGCCACGCATTGCTTGACAGGTCGACAAGCCTCATTCTGTTGGGTCAGAGGTCCAGGGTCTTTGCGCAAACTGCCACCTCCCTAAGTCAAAGATGTCATTGCGACTGTGTCGTACCCTGGCATGACACCAACCAAGACCCAAAAAGCCCGATGTAAAGCGAGCGTGTTGAAAGCGAAACACGCTGGGAGCCGACTGCATCACAACCGCAACCTCCAGACTTGGCAACATCTCCGGGCCTGACTGATCTCGAAGGCGATGTCTGAGCTTACGTGCTGTCGTAACCGCGACTTCTCGAAGGTTGCAGAAGGCGGTCTTGAGGTGCTGCAGCAGAGTTTCCAGATGAAGACGCTGTTCCTGGAAGACTCCTCGGATTGAAAGAGAAGGACAACCAAGGTCGCCCCACGCCTGCCACTAATTCATTGGTAACGTCCGTGCAGACAGCTTTCCTGGTGCACCATGGAAATCCAAGGCACTTTGCGCAATCTGCCGCATCTTGTTGATCTCGACAGCAAGCAAGCTTCGCGCTGAAGAATGCTTTCAATCTCCAAGAAGCGAGACACCTTGGTCGAGAACATCACGGACGCTCTACAGAGCAGGGAGGCATCAAATGCAGTAGGCACCAGGCCGAAGGCCGGCTTAGCCGCTCAGAAACTTCTGGATCTTGGAAGCCTCCCGACATGTTATGGTTCCGATAAAGCCTAAACGATCTTAAACGTTTTCTGTTGAGCATCCTTCAGAGAGGAATGCTTTAAGGGTTCTGTAGGGATGTCGCTTCCGCCCTGTCTACCTCGAATCTGGGAAGCAGGAGGCTTCAGCTTTAAGACCTGTGGCTGGTGAGTTTGGCAAGAATATCATAAACACAGTGTCTTGCAAAAAAAGCAATCAAGCAAGGTGGAACCAAACGTGATAGTCGTCGATGGCTTTGAGTTGAAAAATCGCAGCCTGCGATCACCATCACTGTGCAGACTACAGGCCCGCAGCTTCGCACTTGTGGGATGGCCCAGGTCGGGGTGTCGCTATATCCCTACCAACGAAAGAGGCCTCGTTTCGCACCGACGTGTTGGGCGAGCTGCCGCCAAGCACCAGCAACCTGAGTTGATGGCTCATCAGATATCAATGATGCTTATACACGATACTGATCGTTGTGGGAACAGCACGAAGTGCTGAGTCTTGTGCTTTCTGCACTCCAATTGTAACAGCATGGTACCGCAAATGCCCACATGCCCTAAAGGCGGCAGGAGGGACATGGGTCCAGAAACCTGAAGCAACGCTTCTTTCATGCGCCCCGGGAAACGACAGACGAGTGGAACAAGCGTTTTACTCGACCTGCTGTTCGGTTCCGATGCGGCCCCTCGGCAAGTCATGATTGCAGTACAGCGCACGTCATTTTTTACCATCAAATTGTCGTAAACTAATCAGGACGTACAAGCAAGCAAGTGCTGACCCCGGACCTCACATCCCGTACCCCACCCTACGCTTTTACGCCATTTCTCAATCCGCGTGTAAATCAACCGTTCAAAAACCCGCAATGCGGCAAACACATCCAACAATCTACGCAGTAATCCACAACACGAAACAAAGCAACTCACCACAAACGAAACAAAGATCCGAAACACAAGCCTAAGCACACAGCATCTAAACAATTTTGAACCCTATCCGTTCTATATAACCCATATCCTGATGAGGTTTGGGGTCAGCGACCGCAATAGTAGAACCCCCCCCCCCCGAAAGTGTAAAACCTTGAATCCGGAAATGACCCCTCGATAGGATTTTACTAAAGCTAATTAATAAGATGCTATTTGGGCAAAAAGGCGTCCAAGCAGGCACGTGGGAATGGGGGGTATGTTTCGCGAGCATGTTTGGAAGGTGTCCAATTGCACCGTGAGCCATTATCACAAGCCATTTAGGGCTCAGGGTGCTCAGTGGGTTAGCTAAGGTGACTGTAAACCCCAAACCCCAGCAGGTGTGTTCGGTGGCTTGCGGGGATTGCGCAGGGCAAGCGTAATGCTCGGGCAAAACCTCGGCTGAAAACCCCAAAACCATACACTCGTTGAAGCATTAGTGACACTTAATGCGGTTTCTGCTAAAAGCGTTTTTTCTGGGTTCACGAGTCGGGCCTGGGGCCTGCAGCCACTGGGGTGCAAAGCACACAGACCTGAATTCATGACTTCAACTTGCGTTTTCGGTACGCCCAGAAAGGGCCATGACTTACTCCATCAATGTTGGGGGTATGAACCGCGCGTGAACCAAGTATGATTCAGGGCATGCATTAGTAGTAGTAGTAGTAGTAGTAGTAGTAGTAGTAGTAATAGGAGTAGCAGTAGCAGTAGCAGTAGCAGTAGCAGTAGCAGTAGCAGTAGTAGTAGTAGTAGTAGTAGTAGTAGTAGCAGTAGCAGT